TGTTCTGTCCCCTGCTTTGAATGAAATGTGTTCCAGACTTCTTAGGGTTTGTGGCACATATTGAGGTTCTGTCCTATGCATCCTGCAGCTTCTTCAGATTCCCTTCAACTTGGACCCACCTTCCTGTGGGAATTATGCCAAGTGAAATATGGAAAGCAAGAATTCATAAAATTCTCACAGTAGAAAAGTGTCTTGTACAGCCACAATCAGATTTCCTTTTTTTTTTTTTATAAACTGAGAATGCATTTTGCAATCTTTGTTTTTTAAGTTTTGTTTATTTGCAAGGCAGAGTTACAGAGTGGCAGAGAAAGAGAAAAAGAGAGAGGAGAGAGAGGTCTTTCATCCACTGATTTACTCTCCAAATTACTGCAACGGCTAGACCTGGGCTGATCTAGAGCTAGGAGCCAGGAGCTTCTTCTGGGTCTCTCATGTGGGTGCAGGGGTCCAAGGACTTGGACCATCTTCTACTGCTTTCCCAGACTACCAGCAGAGAGCTGGATTGGAAGGGAAGCAGCTGGAACTCAATTTGGCACCTAAATGAGATTCTGGCACTGCAGGCAGCGGCTTTACCCACTATGCCACAGTGCTGGCCCTACCATCAGATTTGTTAATAGACGGCTTGTTTCTTGAGTGCCGTTAAGATCATAATATTGGGTATATCTTTTATTGAACACTTACTGGTTTCTAGGCATTATGAAGAGAGACCTTCACCTATAGTCTGTCATTTCATTCTCACAATAGCCAAAAATAGCTAAAAGTTCCCCCTCTGTGCCCTGGTGTTGAGTAGCTTTGTACCCAAGCAAATTGGATGTGCTCTGGGATGCAGAACGAGTTAAGTCTTGCAGGTGGTGAGGGGCATTTTCAGCAGTATGTTCTGCTGACTTTGGGCTGCACCTTCCTGAGCCTCTTGGATACTCCAGAAAAGGTGCAGCATGCACGTTGCCAAATGATTTCTCATAGGATGATCCAGAGAAGGTTACTTTAAGGCAAGCTTGCTTTCAGTAACAAACTGCTAGTACCTCTGAATCCATTCCTGTTTGCTTAAAAAGACCTTACCCATGTTTACTATAGCATTTTCAGTAGTTAGGTGTGACTGCAAGGAGGCATGTTGCTCTGTAGACTTGATAGGATCAGGACTGTCAGTGAGGTTCTGCTGTGAGCTGTTCCCATCCTTGCTCCCACTGAGCTGAGTGACCGCAGAGCATGGCTGATTGTATTAGCTCCAGTACCTCCTTTAATCCTTACAACACCCCCTTTTGTTGGGATTACTACAGAGGAGGAACTGATGTGCAGAGAGTTTAAGGCACGCTGAGGCCAAGAGACAGTTAAGTAAGTGGTTGAATGAAATCAGACACTTTTCTCTTAACCACTGAACTGTCGCCTTCCCTGTATGCAACACTTTGTCTCAAAAATCTTAATGCATCTCAACTTTATCGTGAACTTGATTGGCATGAAGGAGGGATCAGAATAGAGAGGCCAGCAGCTGGCGTTGGGTGGTCTGTGGGGGTCTCTGGATTGTAGCCTGTAGTCATAGATACACTTAGTCCCTGTCAAGCCTCTTGATAGCTCATCTCTGAAATTAGACGGTGGTTCTTGTCCTTTGTCTGCCCTTCTTAGGGGCAGGGGAAGCCACTAGCAGATGAAGGGGGTTAATTAGGTTTGTAATTTATGTCCAGCCCACCTATGAAAGGATTTGTGAATCTGTGAAGAATTATGACTTTTAAGCCAAGCTTATAATTATGATATTAGGAGGATACATGTATTACATGAATCTCCGCAACCTTTAAAAATAAGGAGATGAGAAGAATCAATTTGGCTGGAGATAAAGTGAGCATAATAGGATATGTCTCTGTATTTTATAATTGCAATAGAAAACAATCTTTTTGTAGATGATGTAGCCCAATAAAATAAGTGATGAAGTGGTTAAACATATAGTGGTGAATATTTTACCCATTGGAATGGCCCATGCGGACAATTAAGTCTCCTCTGTTTTTATTCTCTTTCAGGTAGTCTCTTTGTCAATCCCCTTGTTAGGAATAATTATTTCTGTCTCTTTAAATAGTGTCTTTGCCAATTTTGTATTAGCTCTGAGCTTTTTGCTTCAGTTACTTTAGCTGTAGGTCAGTGAGAAACATTAGTTGTGTGCAGTAAATCTTCATATGACCACAAGGTTCGCTACTCTGTTTTCAGATGGAATTGGAAGGTTGAGAAGATGGAAAATAGACACATGTTAGCTGGGATTTCTTTGGACACAGGTAACAGACTTGCCTGAGCTGCCTTGAGTCATACAGTACACCCCAGAAAGGAGGCACTGCAGGGAGGCTGCAGTGTCGTCCTAGGAAGCTGAGGGCAGGGATGAGGCGGCCCTCAGGAATGAGCTAGGGGTGAGGAAGGGAGCTCCCTGGAGCCATTCGTGCCAGCACACATGTGGCATATGTGCTCATAAAACAAAAGAGGAAGTAGACAGAGAAGGAGGGTAGGAATTTATGTAGGATTTTATTGAAAACTTAAACACGAGATTTAAAAAGTTACACTATGTTTCTTTAGGAAAAAAAGACATACATTCTGTAAGTTGAAACACTACAGGAAAATGAAATCTAAAATTCTGATAACCAGGATCTACTAAGAATTTTAATAAACATTCTTCTAATGTCTCTCTGGACACTCACGAACACACACATGGACTCATTCTACGGGTGATTATTTACTTGTTTCATTATCCGAAGTTATCGTAGCTGTCTTTTCCTAATGGTAAGTCTAGACGTCCATCTTCTTCAGTGTGTGTAGTATACTTAATATGTCTCCTATTTGCAGGCCTTTAGAGTCATTTGCCTTCTTTTCTGCTGTTATTACAAATGATGCAGGGTCTGGCGCTGTGGCACAGTGGGTAAAGTCGTAGAAGTACCTGTATGAGTTTGGGGTGCTCTACTTTGAATTCAGCTCCCTGTTAATGTGCCTGGGAAAGCAGAAGAAGAATAAATAACTTACTCCTTGCTTACCTACTGTGTGTGAGTTGTTGGAGGGGATTCTTGAATCAAGTGGTCTGCAGGTGCCCACGCTGATGCAGTTGTCCGAATGACTACAGACTGATTTTCCCAGTTTATATTCTCATCAAAAAAGTGATCGTAACGTTGGCTGTTGTCAGTCTTTGGCATTGTTACTAATCTCATTGGGGAAAAATAAGATCTTTGTTTTCTAAGATTATGTGTTTCCATTGATAATATAGTTGATAACTTTTTATATATTCATTGCTATTATATTCCTTAAGACTTGCGCAGGGCTTATTAATTTGCTGTCCATTTGAGGGGAATATTAATTTCCTTACTGGTTTTTAAGACATTTTTGCAAATTAAGGATAACAGTCTTTTTATGAATCATGTAAATAATTTTCTTAGTTTCTTTTATCTTTTGACAAAAGTGTCAGTGTTTTTTAAAAAAATTTGTGAGGAAGAGAAACAGAGAGAGAAAGAGAAGGAGGGGGGGAAGGAAAGGAAGAGAGAATGCTCCCATCCACTGGGTTCAGTACCCAAATGCCAAATACAGTAGCTGGGTCTGGGTCAAGCGCAGAGCCTGGAGCTGGAGTGCAATCCAGACCTCCCATGTGGGTGGCAGGAACCCAAGTACTTGATCCATCACCTGCCTGATGGTGTGGATGCTGATGTCCTAACTTGAGTATTAACTTCTTTTTTTTTTTGACAGGCAGAGTGGACAGTGAGAGAGAGAGAGACAGAGAGAAAGGTCTTCCTTTGCCGTTGGTTCACCCTCCAAAGGCCGCCGCGGCCAGCGTGCTGTGGCCGGCGCACCATGCTGATCTGAAAGCAGGAGCCAGGTGCTTCTCCTGGTCTCCCATGGGGTGCAGGGCCCAAGCACTTGGGCCATCCTCCACTGCCCTCCCGGGCCACAGCAGAGAGCTGGCCTGGAAGAGGGCAACCGGGACAGAATCCAGTGCCCCAACCGGGACTAGAACCCGGTGTGCCGGCGCAGCAAGGTGGAGGATTAGCCTAGTGAGCCACGGCACCAGCCGAGTATTAACTTCTAAGCCAAGTCCTCACCCCCCAGTATTCTTTTTTATGTGTATTTTAATTGTACCATTTATTTATTTTAGAGTTTTCAAAAAATGTAGATAGCCAAATGCCTCAGTCTTTGATAGTTTAAGATTTTGGTGTGATGCTTGTAAGGACTTCTCCTCTTCCTCTATTATTAAACCACTCGGATATATTCTTCTGGTACTCACAGGATTCCAAGTTGAATTTGTGTTGAGAGAGAGAGACCTAGATTTTTCCTCTTCCTAACTAGCTAACCAAAGCATCTATCAAGTATCTTCTCAAGGCTTCCTAGAGTTCAATGCATGTACGTGGGTCTGTTTCTAAGGAATTCTGGGTTCTGTATCCAGATGTTGATTGTTTCATTGTTCCATATGTGTTTTCTGACTGTGACTCCTGTTGGTGAGCTATGGCTGTGCTGTGTTATTGACTTCTACCATGGCTTACTGTCCATCTGTGGAGTAAGGTGTCGAATGGTCAGTTCTCAATGCCTCTGAGGACTGAAGTAATACAGGGCAGTATAGGGAAATGTGAAAGAGGAGCACACCTGAGGTGTGCTAACTTGAAAAACAATCAGTGCAGTGCCTAGGATTTTTGGTTTAGACATGGTGGGGGTAGGTGCAGGAAGGGAGATGTATATATTTATTTTTTGTTGAAATCCAAAGCCATTAAAGCATTCCTTCTACAAGGAAGGGAAAAAATGTGTTTTGCTTCTTGGCCAACAGTAACATAATTTTGGTCTTCTAAATAAACGTCTTGGGATGTCAATTCCCTGTTGGTAAGGAAAATTCCCAGCCCATGTCTTGAGGAGGAAATTCATTGTTTCCTGAGTTACTTCCTTTTGTGCTTATTGTGGGGGAAATGACCAAAATATATAGATTGAATTGTTAAAAAAAGTCAACAACGAAGCAGTCGTCTGTAGCTTTACTTGATTCCAGTGTCCTCTCACTGTTTTAGGTATTCCTACTGTGGCCTTCTCGCTTGCTTCAAGAATATCTTCGGGGAAACCGGTCCTCTACATAAACTGAGCATTTAGGTGAGTCTTTTGAAAGAGTACCTTATTCATATCAGTTGCCAGCCCCCTGCCTGGAGACAGTTATATAAAGTGTTGAAATGTTGTCTGTTCTGCTGTCCTGTTTAATCTTTACCTTGTTCTTAGAAGGCGGGTGTGCAGAGTGACTGTTGTATTGTTTCCGTGGCTGTTTGGTTTTTCTACCTTGATGCTTCTGGGGTAATGGTAGGGGCCTAGAAGCAGAGTTGAATAGCTGGCTTTTGACCTTACTGGAGCTTAGCGCATGAATTCTTATTCATTCACACCTGTTTGCTTTATGCATCTTGTTGTTGTTTTTGTTGTTGTGGAAAGTGAAGGTGGAAAGAGAAATGCTGGGAGAATTCAAGTAGAAACGCACAGTAGTCTTTGAACTGAAACTGTTGAGTGGCTCCTGGTGCTCTCTAGGGTTGGGAGACAGTTGCTATAGCCTGAGATCAAGGAAACTGTAGCTATAGATGCTTGGTTTTCCCCTCGGGTTGTCCTGGCTGGGATTGCCTCATCTCAGGTAGTGTGGGCAGAAACATGGAGAATCATCTCTGGGTCTTGGGTATAACTGGGTTAGAGTCTGACAAGGTTAGAACTTTGGATTCTGTTACTACTCTCAGTAGTTTCATGGCTGTTCCTGTCCAGCTGCACAATTGGAGATAGGTTATTTAATGTGTTAGCCTCCTTGTCTTTTGGAAATTTGTAGCTTGGCCTAGCCTGGCTGTTAACTCATTTCCAGGTTTTATGGAAGAGGGAAATTATTTTGGGACCAATATTTTTAAAATTTCTGAATGTTTACAGACAAAATTGATGATTGTTAAAGCTAGATGAATGCAGAGGTTCACGGTGTAATTATATACTGTTGTCACTTTTGGGGATGTTTCATAATAAATCATTTTCACAAGATAACTACCATCTAGCAACATCATGTCATGAAAAAGGAAATGTGTTATACTAACGTGGTAGAAGTGTCATGAATTCATCTTTAGTGGTCCGTGTTTGTCATTATGAAAGCACTCTTTCTTTCCCCACTGTGACCAGTGATGCTTGGCCACGGATTAACTGTCACCATTCTGAGCAATTGCACTTGGGAAGTACTCGCCATAGCTGCTAAGGTTTCTTTTGCCTCTCAAATTGTGTCATTCTTTTGCACTAAGAGGTTTTCTTTACCCATATGCCATCTCTTTCCAGAAATGCAGGAAGAGCTAGCATGGTTGAACTAAAATAGGTCAGAGGTTGTATAGAAGCAATGGTAGGAATCCTAAGGAAAAATGGCCCAGGGCTGGTGTTGTGACACAGTGGGTTAAGCCGCCTGCAATGCCAAAATACAGTAAGAGTGCTGATTTGAGTCCCATCTGCTGCACTTCCTTTTCAGCCGCCTGCTAATGGCCTAGAAAAAGCAGCAGAAGACGGCCCAAGTGCATGGGCCCCTGCCAAGGCTTTGGCCTGGCTCAGTCATGGCTGTTGGGGCCATTTGGGCAAGGCACCAACAGATAGAAGATCTCTGTCTGCCTGTCTGTCCCTCTCTTTCTGTAACTCTGCCTTTGAAAAAAAGAAATAAGGAAATCTTAAAAAAATGAAAAAATGGCCCATTTATATGAGCATTACATTTAGCTGTAAGTCACTCTTCAGTCAGGATGAAAATGAAGAGTTGGCTGGTGCTGTGGCTCACTAGGCTAATCCTCCGCTTGTGGCGCCGGCACTCCGGGTTCTAGTCCTGGTTGGGGCACCAGTTCTGTCCCCTCTTCCAGTTGCTCCTCTTCCAGGCCAGCTCTCTGCTATGGCCCGGGAAGGCAGTGGAAGATGGCCCAAGTGCTTGGGCCCTGCACCCGCATGGGAGACCAGGAGGAAGCACCTGGCTCCTGGCTTCAGATCGGCACAGTGCGCCGGCCTGCCGTAGCAGCCATTTTGGGGAGTGAACCAACAGAAGGAAGACTTTTCTCTCTGTCTCTATCTCTAACTCTGCCTGTCAAAAAAAGATCTATTAAAAAAAAAAAAAAGAAAATGAAGAGTTAGTGTTTTAAGTAGTCTGATGAAAGCATATATAATGTTGCACTCCCACCATGGTGGGGCAGCCCCTTAGGTAGTATTTGACGGATAAGTATCTGCCTGTGTTAGGAGCGTGCTGACAGCTGGGCGTGAGGTGAGGTGATGGCCAGACTCCCAGAGAGCCCTGATGCAAAGCCTAAGTGTGAGGAGCTCTTGGCTTGGGTGGAGGTCAAGGGCACAACCAAGCTCTCTGAACTAAGGGTGGTAGGGTCAGATGCACGTGGGATAGGGAAGCACCATCCTGTTCATGGATCATGTGCAGCCTCCTGGGTTGAGTGTTGGTCCTTGAGGACTGGTCTGGTGGACCAGCTCTGGCCACAGGACCTGAGGCCCAGCAAACAGGAAGCACATTGGATCTGTGCCTTCCTCAAAGTGTCAGGTCTGCAGGTAGTCAGCCAGGTGGATTCTGATGCCATGATCTGCAGAGAACGAAAACCCATGCTTTCTCTTGACTTCTCCTTGGGGTGGGGATGGAGTAATGGACTGAATTATCAGGGCAGTGAAATGTGAGGAGGAAGCAGCAGGTCCACCCAATCCAAGAAGCCTGCCCAATCCTGATTACTTCCGAAAATCCCTGAGAGTTGGCTGTGGTCTTGATGGGAACGTGGTGGTTTCATCCTTTGGAAATCCTCCTTTAGTGATTTCAGGCTTAGGTTTGTTTGAACATCCCTGGTTTCTGAGAAACTTCAATGAAACTTGACACATTTACCTGGTTGTTTTCTGTTCTGCCAACCCAACGGTTGGTTTCCTGCCTACTTGGTGTGCTTCAGTTAAGTTGCCTTTACCCTGGGAATATTTATGCCCTGCCCTTTTTAGGAAAAAGTGACTCCAAGCAACAGCAGAAACATTTGTCTTACATGTATGGGAATCTGAAAGATGGCCTGAAATCCTGACATTTCTGAAAGTATAAAATGTCATGAATAAGTGCTGGCAAGAGCTTGTAGCTTGACATAAACCAGAGGGAAGAGAATTGTTTTAAGAGACTTGGCTCAGTCCAAGTTTGAATAAAACTTAATAAATGAAGAGTGTAACCAATCAGTCATGTTCTAGAGCCTTCCAGAGGACCTGGACATTCTGGATGAGATCTTGAAGCGATGAGTAGTTAAGAGTTTAAGATCACCGCGCTTCACAGGGAAAAAATATGTGGTGCTATAAAGCTCTTCTGTGTGTGTGTATGTCAGCAAGAGATTGATAGTGTCAAGGAAGGAGAAATGATTTGTTTAGCATTTTACATAATGTCTTGTGATATAATCTGGATTTGAGAATAAATGTGATATTCTGGATCCCTGGCAGGCTTATAAGAAAAATATTTTTAGACATAATTCAAATGAAAAACATTGTTTTTGGCTCTCTGGGAATTTTTAGTACCCATTGCTATTTAGGGAGGGTGTGAGATTCAAAGCAGGATCTATGTAGCTATCTGTCATGTGCCAGTCATCTGTGCCAGTCGTGTGAGGACTGTGACGTCAGTAAAGATACATTGTTCCTTTTTTCCTTTTCTTTATGAAAAATGCAGTCCTTTATGCACTTTTTTTTTTTTTGACAGGTAGAGTTATAGACAGTGAGAGAGAGAGACAGAGAGAAAGGTCTTCCTTCTGTTGGTTCACCCCCCAAATGGCCGATATGGCTGGCGCTGTGCCGATCCAAAGCCAGGAGCCAGTTGCTTCAAGCACTTGGGCCATCCTCCACTGCCTTCCCGGGCCACAGCAGAGAGCTGCACTGGAAGAGAAGCAACCAGGACTAGAACCCGGTGCCCATATGGGATGCTGGCGCCACAAGGTGGAGGATTAACCAAGTGAGCCACGGCGCCAGCCCCTATGACTTCTGTCTTCCTGCCCATCTTCATGAGCTGGTTGCACTGGATCACTCTTCTTGTTGACTGTAGATGCCACCTGTTACCCCAGCCCCACTACCTGCAAGCTCTCTGAGAGACTGAGAGTCCCAATCAGCCCTGTGTTCTTGACCAGAGTCTTCTGAGCTGTGGTCCTTATTCTGTTGTCTCTGCTTAAGAAATGCTTCAGAACAACAATGATAACATCCAGATGATTTTTCTTAACTGAACTAACTAATCTGTGCTGTAACAGGATGCTGTTTCCTTGTGTTTTTAGCTAATTATGTTCATCAGTTAATTTCTTTCAAAGTTAAAAGGCCGAGGAGAACTCCAGATTTGAGGCTTTTCTGCCTAAGAATTGACTGGGTATCATGAGCTCAACACCTCTGGAATACTTGCCAGCATTTTAATATTCTACTGTAGAATGTGAGCCTTTAAAAGTCATTCTTTGTAGGCTGTGAAATACCATATTTTGAAGTCCTAAATGGGTTATCAAAGACATCCTGTTCTCTTTATGAGAAATCAGAATTGGACAACTTTGCAAATCCATAAAATAACTAGTACCTTTTGGGAATTTAAACATGACTTTACTGAGAGTAAAATAAACATACTGCAAGGCCAGCTGTAGTGTTGTTAGCATACTGCTGTAAAGCCTGGTAAAAGGTGAGAAAAAATCCTACCAGTATGTTTTAAACAATGGTTATATGCAGGGCCTTTTATTTAAATTTGTCAGAGTTTTACATGCAAATGAGTGAGAGTAGAAATATCTATTTGGAATCACAAAAGACAAACTTGAGCAAAAAAAGAGGAAGCTGGAAGCATCACAGGCTGTGTGCCTTCAAAAATATATACAGAGTTGTCCATGTTTGAACAGCATGATGTTGGCATAGAAACAGACATCTCGACCAATGGAGTGGAATAGAGAGCTTAGATGTAAATCTGTATTCTTAGTCATTTGATTTTAACAAGGCAGAGAACATCCAATGGGGAAAGACCTGTTTCTTCATTAAATGGTTCTGGGACAACTGTACTTCCACATGCAGGAAAAAAGAATGAAATCAGATCCTGTCTCACACCATGTTATAAAACAACCCAAAATGGATTAAAGACTTAAATATAA